TCGAACTCATGCGGAAGTGGCTTTAGTTTCTCAGTGCAGTGCTTTAACCCGCTGCGCCACCTGGGAGGGCCGGTATAACCTATTTTTAATCTCTATTTCCCTATTCATATATCTTCTTTGGTAGTGTAACTAATAAAATATTTTGCCCTTTTTTTTTATATCAAGTTATGTTTCATTGTTGAAAAGTCTATGATATTTATATATTCTGGCTACAATTCCTTTATCAGATCTGTTCTACATTTTTCTGCCAGTCTGAGGGGAATGAATTGTTACTGAATTTTGAAGAGCAAAGGCTTTTTACAAAAAAATTGCCAGTGTTTTCTTTTATGACTATGGTTTTTACATCCCATCTGAGAAATCTTTGTCTAATGCATAGTCACAAAGCTTTTCTAAGTTTTATAATTTTAGGTTTATGATATATATTTGAGGTTATTTTTCATGCATTAGGTAAAAATTGAAATTCATTTTTTGGGTGTGTGTCAAATTGTCTAGCATCATTTGTTGAAAGGACTGTCCTTTCCAAATTAAATTACATTGGACCAATTCCTGTATCTTTGTATCACCTTTTACCAAGGTACATCTGGTATATCCCAACAGGTCTGCCAAAGACTAACAGAATATGGAGTTCATTTTCATCGGGTGCACCCTGAGAAAAAGTCACAAACTGGAATATTACTTGGGATCTGTTCCAAGGGTGTCCTTGTGTTTGAGGTTCATAATGGAGTTCGCACATTGGTCCTTCGCTTTCCATGGAGAGAAACTAAGAAGATTTCTTTTTCTGTATGTTTTAATTCTTTTTTGAATAGATGTTGTTAATTTCAAATGTAACATAATGATTTTCTTCAAGTAAATGTTAAACCCTACCATTCCTAGTTGTATGTCCCAATAATATTTAACTCTTGGTTATAAAAAATATTATGAATATTATGCTTCCTGTTTTCTCAAGAGGTAATTTTTTAAAATATATTATACATTCCTAAGCTGGTTATATGCTCAGTTAACTTTAGTTAAATTACAACTAAGTTGACTTCTCTGTTAATTCAGAACTTATTCTAGGATACTAACGTCTCACATGGAGAAACCTTCCTAATAAATTTAAGCTAGATAACTGTCTAATCTCAGTGAACTTAATTTAGCTCAATGGTATCTAGTTCCTCATAACAACTCATAACAACTAATGTTTGAGTATCAATGATCCAGAGATTCACTGGATTTTATGAACTAGTGCCAGAACTTGCTTTACTTTTAGATTTTAATATATAACTCTCTGTGTAGATGTCAGAACTTGGTCACATATTAAAGTGGTAAGAAATCCTAATTTTTAATACCCCTAATTAATATTGTAGAAAAAGAAAATCACATTGCAAAATACATCAGATGGAATAAAACATGCCTTTCAAACAGACAACAGTAAAGTATGTCAGTACCTGCTACACCTCTGCTCTTCTCAACACAAATTCCAGCTGCAGCTGAGAGCAAGGCAGAGCAACCAGGATGCCCAAGATATTGGTAAGGAGAAGTAAACTATTTCACATTAATGCAGGGTAGATCAGTGTATGACTTTTGCCATACAATTTTTAAGAAATTACATGTATAGGATGAAAATTATGGGAGGACATGTCAATATTAAATGATTGTCATGTTTAAAAAGATTCCACAGATGAGGCCAAAATTTCAATTTCATGTTTGCTTTGAAAACAGCACCCCAGGTCATAAGAGGACGCCTGTTGAAATGTTTGTTTTGTGCATCTCTATAGGCTAGCTGATATAAATAAGTAAAAGATTTCGTCACAGTAAATTGACACACTATTTGGGAACATATGTGAAATCATAATACAAAATAAAGGGTCTAAGTTTTAATACCAGATTATACTATGCAGACTCTGTGATCTGTACCCCAGGAGAAGTGGAGGATCAGAGTCAGAAGTGCTTGAGTGATGGTATCTAAACTGCATTTGGAGGAGAAAAATAAATAGATTGAAATGATAAATAGAAGGACTTTCCAGATGAAGAAAGAACACAGGAAATAAGACCGAGGGCAGGGAGAATATGCCTTGGGAAAGAGAGACACATACCAAAACCATTCTGAGGTAGTAGATTTCCCATCTGTTACTTTTACTTGAATGTATTCCCGTACTGAGACTGAAATGATTAACCCAATACCAATGTAAGTGGACAGGAAAATGCTGCCTTTTTGAAAAGGAAGCAGCAGAAGTTAATTCAGCTCTTAAAAAAATCTTAATCAAAACTGAAATTTTTAAAGCTCATTCTGCAAGACCACATGTAGAGATTAAAGTTACTCAGTATTCAATCCTACATAGTAAATTCATACAGACTTTAGTGAAACACTAGCAGGAATTTGAGTAGAAATTGTAATGAATAGCTCTGAAGACCTTGTGTAGCAGACCCAGTGAATTCTTTAGCTAAAGTTTCTCACATCCTTAAATCTTATAAAAATATGTTCCCTATAGTATCAGACTGAAATAATGGCAATCTAAGAATGTTTCTCAGGCTTTCAGAATCAAGGTGGGGGTGGGGGCCATATGCTAATTTAAAATGAAGTTTCTAGGAACCTGCCTGAAACTTGGCAAATTCTAATCTTTGGGAATTAGGTACCTGGAATCTTCATTTTACAGCTTTCCTCAGTAATGATTTTTATGCATGTATAAATACAGTAATTATATTATCAAGTAATTGCATTATTCCCTTTCTTTCACTGCTTTGCTCTGCTAAAAAAAAAAAGTGTGCTGTCAAATATTTTCAAAGTGTAGTGAAATAATCAAACTTACTAATTATATCACTATTCCTACTTAGAGTAGTATTCTATTCATTCCAAGCCAGAAGAGCAGCTGAAGATTACATCATTACAAATGTGGTATAGGATGCTTTAGTGAAGAGTGAGAAAATAAAAATATGAAACTAATCTTCATTCTCAACATTTCTTATACTGAAGAACAACATAGTGCAGTAAAGAGCATGAATTCTAGAGCCAGACTGTCAGTGTTCAGACTTCATACTACTGTGTACATTAAAGCTCTGAAATCTTGGATAGACACTAAAACTCTATGCCTGAGTTCTTAGCTGTAAAATAAATACTGTGATAATACCTGTATCATAAACTTGTGAAGATGAATGGATTAATACATGTAAAGCACTTTAAAAATACCTGGCATTGAATAAACAAACATTTTCATCACCAACTTTGTTTTACCACTATTATCACTGGTAGCCATAGTAGTCATAAAGGTATTAGGTGAATGACCTTAGGAAATAGCTGTCTTTCTGGAGTCTCCCTTTCTTACCCAAGAAGTGAGAATGCTCTGCAGACCTCACAGGTTTGACTGTGGGATCACAACAGCTATCTTGTTCTCATATGTGAAAGCACTTTCAGATGACAGTGATACTGCCTCTTTTCCCAGACTTTGGGAACCTTCACAGATTTATTTTCAACTTAGTATCAGCTAATAAGTAACTGGCTTCCTACATAATGATCTATATCCCATAAATGAAAGTAACTTGTTGTCTACAGGTGTTGATGAGCTAATAAGTTACTTCTCTAGAGTCATAGACGTTGATGTTAAAAAGAACCTTAGAGACCAGTAAATACAAAATTTTACTAATGAGGAAACCAAATTAGAGATGATGGTGACTCTCCAAACTTCATAGTTAGGAATCAAAGTAGGCTGGAATCCTGGCCTCAATTCCTAATCCAGTATGCTTTCTACTTGAGGAGTTTCCAAATAGTAATTTTCAGGGGTTCAATTGAAGAATAATAATCATTCATTATTACTACTACTATTTGAAAGACACTGTGCTACTGCTTTGTAATAAATGAGTCCCTCTCTTCAAAAAAGCATAGTTGAGTTGACAGTTGAAGGAATTACAGAATAGTACAAGGTGCTGAACTATAGCACAAACAGAAACTAAGAAATAATGGATTTTTCTGAGTGTGGAACCAGCAAGATTGAGTCCAAATTTGAAAGATCAGTTTTAGGATGTAGGTTTTGTGTGGTGTTCTTTCCCACCCTGAAAGTCTATGCTGAAGTTATTTCCAGGTGAAAGGCAATAGGACAAAACAGTTGAGTGATAAGTTTATGATCTTGTCCCATGGATATATGCAGTATTTAAATTTCCTACCCAAGAATAAGTTATGAATTAACTTGAATGGCATACCCCCAATATGTTTACAAAACAGATATAACCTAAACTGAATGGCTGTCATTTCTGCTAAAATTTGGTCTACAATTTTCTTAAGGTAAAGAAATCTACTAGCTGCAAAGCATTTCCTGATAATTATCTACTAAGACTCAGCTTGTGTCTTTTAATAAAAGCTGCTTTCAAAATTAAATAGAAATCATACTATCTGCTCTTTAAAATTCTGAAATTTAAGTTAAAGTTCCTTCTGGAATTTTTAAAACAGTCATTTTTGTGTTTATTTCTGAGGAAGAACACTGAGTTTTCCTGTTGACAATGAAATGTGTTTATTTCAGCTTCATTCGGATGCGTAAATATTAAAAACATTCACTTTTTCCTGTTTCTTTATGCCTTAGACAAATGTTGATTATTAATGCTCCTAGGAATTAGAAGATAAATGAAGCAGAGTCTAATGATCTAAGTCAGCAGTCATTTGACATTTTCTTTTTAAAAGGTAGTTTTTGCAGCTGTTTTATATAGTGATCAAATTGTGTCCTTATAGAGTGCCACATAGCTCCAGTGGGGATCACATAAGTGCCTTGTGATGTGCATGAACAGTTAAATCATTTGACATTGTGTTCTAGTCTTTTACTTATATGAAGACATCTTGATACTAAAATCTGTGACACAATACATTTGAAAGAGCCTCAAATACTGCCATGACTTTTATTCTCACCAAGTAGAATGCCTAAGCACTTGTTTTAATGTATTTTTAAACTTACCCTATAAAAGAAAACTTTGAATGCTTATTTAGGAGTAAAAAAATAATTGAAACATAGAAAGTGAGTAATAAGATCATGCTAATTAGCAGAAACCAAAGTAGGGATAAGGCAAATAATAGTTGATTCTCACATGGCTCCTGTGCCTTTATTAAATCATGACGTTTACAGGCAGAAAGTGGAACTGGCATAGTAGTGAAATAGCAAAAGAAATAATTTGATTTAAAATTTTTACATTTTTTGATAACATTTTTTGAAGTTTTTCTCACATATCATGTAATTTATCCATTTAGAGTGTACAAGCCCATGGCTTTTAGTGTATTTACAGAGTTGTTCAACACAACAATCTGCCATAAGCTTTTAAAAATGTAACAGCCAAGAACTTTCTCTCTAGGCAAAGCTCTGCTCTGCATAGCTTTTTTTCAGGTGTGATCTTACCATGTTGGCCTCACTGGATTTCATCTCTCCCTCTCCCCATCCTTGATTTACTGATATTTTAGCGGAAACACTACTAGGATTGAAAATTTCTCTGTCAATTATCATTTTGATTTCTAACTGAGACCTGTAATTGGGAATTGGACCAGCAGGCATGAAGTCCTAGAAAATCACTAGATGTAATGGGAAATGCTGACTGGGCTCTGGTGGTGTGAGAAAGCTGAAAGGATGGAGAGATGGTATGAAAACCAGAATCTTCCAGCCTACTTTTAAAAACCCCTTGATTGCCATACTTTGGAACCTACCTACTTACTCTGGCAATCGAAATGATTAAAAACTGCATGCTGTACTTTATTAATTAAAATAACTTCTCATAAAGATACCGCAGTGTTTCTATCATGTAAAGCAATCCTATTTCCTTGTAGAGAGAGCTTCGTTTAGGAGCCTGAATCTGCAAGCAGAGTCTGTTAGAGGATTTAATATGGGACGAGCAATCAGCACTGGCAGTCTGGCCAGCAGCACCCTGAACAAACTGGCTGTCCGACCTTTGTCAGTTCAAGCTGAGATTCTGAAGAGGCTATCCTGCTCAGAGCTATCGCTTTACCAACCATTGCAAAACAGTGCAAAAGAGAAGAGAGACAAAACTTCATGGGAGGAAAAGCCTAGAGGGATGAGTAAATCATACCACGATCTCAGTCAGGCCTCTCTCTATCCTCATCGGAAAAATGCCATTGTTAACATGGAATCCCCATCACAAACCGTTGCGGAATTGCTAGGAAAACCATTTCACCAGATGGCAAGATCTGATACAGAATCTTTGGCAGGATTCACAAAGCTTAATAAGTAAGAACATGATTAACCCAAACTCTACATATTTGTAAATTCTACATTTCATTCTTATTTTTACTTTGACTTTTGATTATTTTCAACATATTTTTTTACATTGACACTTCCCCCTCCTACCTTCCTTTTCCTTTAGTTCAAAGTCTGTTGCAAGTTTAAATAGAAGTCCTGAAAGGAGGAAACATGAATCAGACTCCTCATCCTTTGAAGAACCTGGTCAAGCATATGTTATAGGTCAGCATAAACAAACTTAACGTTCTTTCTCCCATACATGATGCTCATAGTATACAAGAAAATGTTAATTACCAAGACATTATTTTTGGTTCTGTGTCCTAATTGCCAAAACTACTTATGAAAATCAATTTTAAGGCTACTTAAAATACACAGAGTCAAATAAAAGATTGGTTTAACAAGTTGCTTTATGGCATAGACTTTGCTATTACTTCGCTTCCTCTGGTCACAGATAAAAAAGCAATGACAGCCAGTCTGTTACCATGGCTTTGGATAGCCTTCCTTTGAATTCTTCTTAAAAGCCCATGAGGGTCAACTCCACTACAGTTTTTGAAGAAAGGTTTATTTGGGGGTTCTTTCAGGTTAGCATGATGGAATTTTTTTTAAAGGTAGTTTCATGTATGCTCTAATTATTAGGTAAAATGTTTCATCGATTTGGTTTTTACAAATTCTCCATGCTAACCTAGCACTTACTAAATATAAAAACTGTGTGTTTAAACACATAATAAGTACTTTACAGATAGTTTGGGTTTCATGTTACTTTATGTATCTTAAAAGTTAAACCCAAACTTTGTTCATTTAATACTAATTACACACAGTTAAAGAGCATTTTCGCATCCTGTAATCAGTTTGAGGATATGTGGAGAATATACAATCAAAAGAGAACTCTGTATCACATTTGATCAACATTTATGGAATATGACATTCCTTATTAGACTACTACAACTTTGAAAGACTAGACTCATGAATTTAAGTTCAATCAACTGAAAAAATTAGAACAGTCTAAGGCACTGAACCAATCTTTTAGAAAATTCTTTTCAAATTATGTTCCTAAAAATGGAACTTATGTAATCAAATCTTGTAGATTCTAAACTATTTTCATTAAGACTTTGGTCTACATAAATTTCTATCACATTATCAGATTTAGAGAGTAGTAAATGTTCCCCCCCACAACATAGATAAAATAAAACTTATCCATGAAAAAGCATTTACTTTCTTCATTTGTTTTATCCTTAAAATTATTCATTCTTGAGTATTGTATTTTCTTTTAACATTTAAAGAATTTTTTTAAAACTCATTTACATCATTTCATACTTGGCATCAAAATGTCATTGTCAGAAATAGTACATTTGTGCTTAAATTTATTCTGCAGAACAAAGTTGATATTAAATATAGTAAACATGCCCGTTGTGGCATGTTTTTCTAAGTGTAAATAAAATGTCACTCCTTAACCTTTTATTAATTTTTATGGATTTATCAAAAGAAATTACTTCTACAAACTGTCTAATAATTTAATTTATACCACAGGAATGCCTTTGCATAGTTCTGGAAACTCTTCATCCCAAGTACCCTTAAAAGAAAATGGTAGGTTTATAAAATGTTTTCCCCCTCATTTCCATTATGTTTTTTCTCTTGTACTTTATGAGATAGTCTTAATAAAGAATCAATTCCATGCTAAGAAGTTTAGGCCTTACACTGGTGTGAGAGAACAATTGCAATTGTTAGCATCATAGTGATAATGATGTGACCTATAAATTTAAGCTAAGTTTGGTGAACTAGAAAAATAAAAAGTTAGAATTAAGTACGCTTAACTGAGTCAGATAATAGATCAAATAAGATATAGCTAGAAGGAGTTTTAGCTAAGGCAGTTTCTTTAAAGGGATGCTTGAACTGCATCTTGCAGATTAGTGGGGCTTTGCATCCAGACCAGGGGTGATGTGTGATTAGAGACATGAGACATATGAGGAGACAGCAGGATCCAGGAATTCTACACCTCTCAGTCAGTATGGAGGCTTACCAGGCCAGGATAGAGCTTGAGAATTACATGGAAAACTTTCTTGAGTCTAACCTAAGCATCATGGGGAAGTTTTGAAGGCTTTCGATGCTGAAATTTGTAGTATAGAAGCTGTCAAAGAATGGTCCAAGTTGTAGCAAGAAAGTTTGCACAATGACTTGAAAGCATAGTGACTTAAACATCAGTGGGTATAAAGCATTTAGAATTTAAGTTACAAAATGGCTTTCACGTCCATTTGATCTTTCTAACAACTTTCATGGGTATAAAGAATTTTTTTTTTAAGATTATTTATTCATACAAAACTGGGGCATAGGCCAGAGATGCAGAGGGTGAAAGGATTCACCAGACACAGAGCGTGGAGCAGAACAGGCAGATCAATGAAGTACACTGCTGAGGGGAGCAGCGGGCGGGTCAGAGCCATGTGGATCACCTCCGGGTCAGGCAGGGATCGAACTCATGAGGAAGTGGCTTTAGCTTCTTAGTGCTGTGCTTTAACCCACTGCGCCACCAGGGAGGGCCTAAAGAATTTTTTTTAATATGATTCACTGTTCTTCTGCAAAAATGTTTGTCTTAGCCACAAGAACTCTCAGAGTTGAAATATTAAGCAGTCTGATGAGAAAAAGCAAATATACAAGTCAGAAGTGTTAATGCAGTTAATAATTTGATGAAGCTTTATGTTCTAATTTTTCTGAAAAACAAGGCAAAAGTGAAGGAAGAGTGGCTTGAATCATATGAAAGTGATACTTTTATAGGTCAAAACTGTCAAGCACAAAGGCACTATTTGTTTTTTAAAGATTTATTTATTTATGCACACAGAACTGGGGTATAGGCCAGAGGTGCAGGGGTGGCAAGAGGATTCACCATAGGCAGTGGGGAGCAGAACAGGATGACTGACGAAGTACACTGCTGAGGAGAGCAGCGGGCAAGGCAGGAGAGGTCTGCTATGCCATGTGGATCACCTACAGGGCAGGGATCGAACTCATGCTGAAGTGGCTTCTTAGTGCTGTGCTTTAACCTGTTGCACCACCAGGGAGGGCCCACAAGGGCACTATTTTATACAATACATCACCTCCTGGCATAATAATGCCTGAAGAGTAGGTACTATTTCTCCAAGTTAAACTTTTGAAGAAGCTGGGTAATATCTGTTCAAAGATGAGAACCTGAAATGTGTAGGTTCTGATGGAAAAGAATGCGAATTTATATTCGATCCCAAATGAGCAAATATGGGATGTTTATCTGGTTACCAAAGCTTCATCTTCTGACCTGCCCCCTACAGAAGACGGGCCAATCTACCTTCTATAGATGTCTCCCATGTCAGCTTGCAGACAAAACTGTTTTCTTTGAAAATCGAATCTGCCAAAGTAACCCTGAATTAGTGCTGTGTTGGGAATTGGATTTTCACATAGAGCATGGCAAACATGTTTTTCTGAATAAAGTAACTAAAAATCAAAAAGTTAAATTATTGACCCATCAGTTCACTATAAAACTTCTCTTAATATTTTTAGAGTTCTTCCTGCTGGTCAGGATTATGAGAAATGAACATATTATTGAATTATTAATTATTTAATACAAGGACTGGTGGATAAAATTCCATCTTTTATGGCCTTGAAAATCTGTTGAAGGAAAAAAAATCTGTGGAATATGAAACTTGGAAAAAATGCAGAATGCAGAATGTAAAAGAAAAACATGAGTCTTCTAATCTCATAAATGCAAATACAGAAAGGATTCTAATCCTTTGATTATTATTGATTTAAAAAAAAAGTTTTTTAACTTTCAAAAAGCATAGTATTTATCTCTGAGAGTAAAGCACAATAATATAGAATTAAAGCAAGAATTATTTTCTTTCTTGTGTTTGTTTTAATATAATCCAGGATTGCTGTACAAAATCTGAAAATAAACTTTTAGGTGTGTCTGTCACCTTGCTCTTTCTCAGTTGTCTACACCACACAATGCATACCATTGTTCTATGGAATGGACCACAGAACTCTTTAACAAAAACAAAATGTAGAAAAAAAAAAACCAAAAGTCCAAAGGACTCAAGGAACTCAACACATCTGAGAATTAACCAAAATCAAAAGGTAGAATCATCTAAGTTGGAAACTGGAAAGGGCTTAAAGGTTTACCCACCCAAGCCTTTTCATTCCATAAATAAAGTACATGAGTTCCAGAGATAATGTAGGATTCCTACTCATTCAGCTAGTTAGTGCTGGTAAAGAAATAAAACATCAAAATGTCAATTATGACAACCCCCCCACCCCCACCCCTTACTTACCCTGGAACAAATAGCCTATTAGGTAGTATAACAATGAAAAATCCTCTTTGTTTTTATACCAATATTCTGCTGCTAATACACCATTCCTAGAATATGAACTGGGCTCTTTTTAATGGATATGTAAATTTTCAACTTTTCTTATTTGTAATTTTTCCCCCCAGCACTATCTCTTGTTTCTCCTTTCCCCCTCCCTCTCAGTCTCCATTGTTTCATGGTATTCATTAATATCCACTAGTCTTTCTAAGTATTTTATTTTATCTAATTGTCTGCTATATAACTTAGTATTTTTATCCTTCTGGTTTGCTTTACTACACATAATTCTCTCAAACTCCCTTGATTTCTTTTGGAAAATGGCTGTATTTTATCTATCCCATAGCTGAATAGTAGTCTATAATGTTAATATATCACATTTTCTGTCCAGTCATCTCTTGGTGGGCATTTAGTCTGTGTCCATGTCATAGCTATTGTAAATAAAGCTACTATAAACATTGTGGAAAATAAAGGATCTTTTCCTGGTTGTGGCCCAAGAGTGGGATTACAAGGTAATCTGGTATTTCCATTTTTAGTTTTTGAAAGTAAATCCATATTGGTGTCCAGCAGTTCACACTCCCACAAACAGAATCCCTCTTCCACTACATTCTATCCAGTACTTCTCATTGGTCTTTTTTTTTTTTTAAAGATTTATTTATTTGTACATACAGAGTTGGGGTACAGGCCAGAGGCTCACGGGCGGTGAGAGGCTTCACCAGAGACAGAGTGGGGAACAGAACAGGCAGATGGAAGAAGTACACTGCTGAGGGGAGCAGCGGGCGGGTCAGGAGAGGTCTGCTGCGCCATGTGGTCACCTCCGGGGCAGGCGGGAATCGAACCCATGCGGAAGTGGCTTTAGCTTCTCAGTGCTGTGCTTTAACCCGCTGCGCCACCAGGGAGGGCCTCATTGGTCTTTTTAATATGTGCATGCTAGTAATAGTATAGTAAATGTATCTCATTTTTGCTTTAACCTGAGTATCCCTTATTGGAAGTGATGATGAATTTTTTCTATATTAATTTGCCTTCTGTATATCCTCTTTGGTGAATTATTTGTTCATATCTGCTGTCCATTTATTCATTGGGTTGTCTTTAACTGTTGAATTGTGTGAAATGGTATATCTCAGATATTAACCAATTATCAGCGCTGTATTATGTGACTATTTTCCCTCATTCAGTAGATGCTCTCCCCCCCCTTTTTTTTTTCCATAATGTGTACATGTTCCCATGGTCCTCTCACCGTCCTGCAAATCACAATAGGATTTATTTTTAAAGGAGTTATTTATTTATGCATACAGAATTGGGAGGTGAGAAGAATCACCATAGACTGAGCAGGGAGCAGAACAGGGAGATCTACTGAATATACTGCTGATGGGAGTCTGCTGAACCATGTGGGTTAGCTCCCTGGCCAGGTGTCAAACTCCTGCTATGGTGATTGGCAATAGCTTGATAGTGCTCTCTTTAATCCCTGCACCATCTGGGAGGGCCAGGGTGCGTTTTTTATCTTTTTATATTTTCCTCTGCTGTATAGAAACTTTCTACCTTGAAGTAATTTCAGTTTATTTTTGTTTTTATTTCTCTTGCCATAAAGGTTGAGTCACCAAAAACATCTTCATCACTGATGTCATGCAGTATATCAGCAATGTTTTTTCCTGTTTTATTGTTGCAGCTTATATCTAAATCTTTAAAACATTTGGTGGTTTTTGTATATGGGGCCAGCTTATACATCTATGTGTGACACCACAGTTTGCCAGGATTCTTTATTAAAGAGACCATTCCTTTCCCCATTTCTCTTCTTTTTGTTTTATTCAATTGAGACATCTGTTTTTGTGCCTATACCAGGTTGTTTTTATTACTGTTGCTGTATGTAAAATTTGAAGTCAGCCAATGTGATACATCACTCCTTTTTTCTGAGAATTGCTTTTGCAATTTAGGGCTTTTTGTGATTCCATATAAATTTTAGCATTTCTTGCTCAATTTTGCTTAAAATTACTGCTGGTATTTTGATAGGATTGCATTAAATTTATATACTATTCTAGGCATGATTTTCATTTTGATTATATTGACTCTCCATGAAAATGGGATGTCCTTCCACCTCCTTATATCACTATTTCTTAAGTCCTTGAATAGCATCTTGTAGTTCTCATTGTATAAGACTTTGATCCTCCTTAGGTAGACTAACTCCAAGGTATTTAATTCCTTTTGAAACAGTTATAAATATTTGGTTTCATGATTATTTTGTGTCTTGTTAGTTGCTTGTGTACTTAAAAAGTGATGAATTAGTATATGTTGATCTTGTAACCTGCCATTTTGCTGAATTTATATATAAATTCTTTCTAAGAGATGTAACTTTTTCCCTGAAGTGAATGATGGGTTTATTTGGAGTGTTCTCTACCTACAGTTGAGTTTTTTTTAGAATCAGTGGAATGGCGTTGATGTGGACTATATCTATAACCAAGAAAATTAGTTTTTTCTTAGAAAGAAAATTCTTACTCATTTAGTTAATTATATGGATTTGTCATTATCAGAAGTATGCTGTTTCTGGAAAATTCACTGAGCCTACTCATACCTGTCATTAGGATCTACAGTTATTCTAGTTGAGGACTGTATATCTCCAGATAACTCTAATGAGAGGTGAAAGAGACAAGACTGAAACAAGTCTATGAATTGTTCTTATGAATTCTATAAATATTACTAAGTTTACTTGTACTGCCATGTATTATATACCATTAGATATTTCCTCCTCTTTTTTTCAGCCAACGGAAAAGTATTTTGAGTATTTCTTATATGAATCGAATAAAAAGATAAATAGAAGACTATCACTAGTATTTGTGCAGTGCTCTCTAATAACATGTTGCTATCTACTCCTTTCCTTTGCTCTTCATTTTAATAAGTAGGTCTATGGAGGGAATGTGTATAGATAGGAGAAAGGATCTCTATGATAAAGATGGATTGGCAAAGCTTCCCTTTCTGGTACTATTCTACCTACTCAAAGCTTGTACTCTAGCTAAATCTGTGACATTTCACAGAACTCTTTCAGCACATTTAGTGCTTTACTTGATGTTATGTGACCATCTCCATAATCCACTTATTCAAATTCCTATTTCATTTCCTTGAAGTTTTCTCTTTTATCTGCATCAGGAAGATGCCCTTCTCTTTCTCTGTTCTGACTCATGTCTTTACAGTATCACTATTTCATTGACAACATAAGAGTCAGGTTAGATCTTTGTTCTTCTAGCCTGTTGTGATTCAGTCCATATTTAGTATGCTAGCAGCTTCAAAATACATTATATGTTACTACGTTTTCCCAAGTTGCCTAGTGAGGACTTTAACAGGAATGTTGCCCAGGAGGCAACTGAAGTATGAAAGAATAATTGAGTGATTGAATGGTTAAATCTCAATAGGAACCTTTAACTGCTGCATCTGGTTAAGAAAATATGCAAAATGTTGCAAGTTTATTTTGAGTATATGTATGCATGTGTGCTTATGTGTAAAAAAGTATTATTTTCAATAATGTTTACCTAGGAAATATGTTAGTATATATACATATATGCATCTTATATAAATAATTACTATAAATAACCAATCTTGTTAATATTCTTAGATATGAAAATACAGTAAGTGGCATTTTTGGTATGAATCAACACCTATGACTTTAGCAAGGCTCAAATATTTTCAGTTTTATAATTGAAAGGATAAACACTATATAAAGCTGTGTAAACTATGTAAAGGACTTTGATATCACAATGAGGTTGAAATTTTACACTTAATACCTAGCAAGATTATGAACCCTTCAGTCTTTAGTTGGGGTAAAAAAGGAAGCAAGTTGGAGTTCAGTGTTGTCCACAAACTATTCTCCTGCTGCTCCTTTCACTTTATTCTACCTTATTTCCCTGGGAATTTGTTTTCCTGAGAACTACATGCCTTTGGAGTTAATTAGATACAATAGTGAATTTCATCAGCTCTAAGGATCCTATTTCCTAGGACAGTAAGTTCTTAAATCTGAAACTTGGAAAAAATAGAAATCCTAATTATCATCATTTAATCACTTTGCAAAGCTCTTTATTTTTATTGGTTATCTCTTGTCACCACAGTGGTGACTTAAAAACCGTATAGTGATTTAAATTCCTAACATGACTATACTCCCTTATTTGTTTTATTTTGAGCTTTTTTCCAACCTTGTATTTGGTTCTAGTGAAAAATTAGAAATAGTGCCCTATTTTAGAGTAAAATTATCTTGAGTACCTAGATAAAATAATTAAGCATTAAAAGTTCATTGAATATAGGTATTGAGAGACTATATAAAACTCTTCACACCATTGTTAAGTAATTCGGAAAGAGGATCTTCTTTATAATAAATAGACATTCTGAATTACTATTTTATTTATTATAACTAAGATTATATAAAGTCTTTATAAAAAAGAAAAAGGAATAGGAATGTATACCACAGGAAGTTAGCAAACTTGCACTAATAGTGGGTGTTTAAGAGACAAAAAGTTAATTCACTCTGGTGGACAAATGTTAGCTGCTATTATTTTCTGAAATTAAAGTAGTGTATTTCTAGAATATCAAGTTTTACATTCAGCTAATGTAAATATGTACATGTCATATAACAAAGTTACTACTTATTTCATGACTTACTAGTACAATTCTTTTAAAATACAGGTTTCTTTAAAAATCTGTCACAAATGCAGTTCATCTTTTTTTTTTACAGCTGAATAATATTCCATCATGGATATATACATCTTAATCCAGTCATCTCATGTTAAATATTTAGGTTGTTGTTATTAACTTGGCTATTATAAATAGTGCTGCTTTTTGCATTTTTGGATAAATGTCAAGGAATGAAATTGCTGGGTTCTATATCGATTTTTAGTATTTTGAGAAACTGCCATATTGGTTTCCATAGTCTACATTACTACCAACAGTTCAGTTGGGTTCCTTTTTCACATCTTTGCTTGTTTTTTCACATCCTTGTTTTTTCACATTTTTAAAGAAACCTGTTTGATATATGCCATTCTCACAGGAGTGAGGTGGTATCTCATTGTTTTCACTGTATTTCTCTGATGATAAGTAATGATGAACATTTTTCATGTGTATGCAAACCATTTATTTGTATGTCTTCTTTGGAGTATTATGCTAGGTGAAATAAGCCACAGGAAGAAAGATAAATTCAGGATGATTTCAGTAATATGTGTAATAGAGGGAGATGAAGGAACTGACAAACCAAAGTAAAGTCTAGAAATATGGCTACAGAATTGAGGCTCCTAAAAGGGGATGCTAGGGTAGGATCAAAGTGGAGAGCAGATCCAATGGCATGTGATACAGGGGTATTGTTCTGGGTTGGGCAAGGTGGAGTGATACATATTTGAAGAGGTGTGAACCTCTTCCTCTGAATCATATTTAGTGCTGTAAACCAAAGTTACCTCAAAATTTTAAGAAGATGCAAACAGAGAACATTTTATTTAATTAAAAACAAAACCTATCCCTAAATTTGGTTACATTCTGAGAGGTCTTCAAAATCCAAGTTTGAGGGTCTTCGTTAGGAAAAGACACAGTTCAGTTTATAACAAGATTGTGTGTGTGTGTGTGTGTGTGTGTGACCATCCACTAATTACTAAGTAGATAATTTTACCACCAAGACATTTAATTGCATATATATTGGCTTAATTCGAAAGATATTTGTGATTTATCGGCTTATTCTTTTTAAAAATCCGTGGGTAGAAATAAGAAAAAGTAAATGCGAGTTCTGATGTTGACATTCACTCCATTTAGCTAGAATTTATCAAGTTCTGGACTCAGGCATTTTGCTGGGCAGTGTTACTTAATGTTGAGTAGGGCATTAATGTTATTCCTTATCTTCAAAACGTGATTTCAAAGTCTGCCTACCTTGTGAGAGTATTCACAAATGAGAAATAAATGAAAGTCCTTTGAGAATGAAAATTGCTAGACAAATCATTAGTGAAATTTTTAATAGTAGATTTAGTGTTTTTGTAATTTTACTGTGGAATTTACCATGGATATTTTACTCAATTATAAGTAAAAATGCCAATCACTTATTAGTGGTAAATTCCTAATAAGTTGAGCATTATCAACTTCAGGGAGTCAACTGTGATACAGCAGAAAGACCTGGAGTCAGAAAACTTAAGGCTCAGCGCTTACCATTATTACCTGAGTAAACCCTTTCAAATTGAGTTACTCGTTTGTAATTAAATTGTAATTATTTGAGGAATAGTTGATGAAGAACAAATGTCATAACAGCCATATTGTAAACTATGAGTCACTAGAAAAATGTAAGACTGTGGCATTATATTACTTAAAATATAAGTTTAGAGTGGCTGACTGATTTGTGACATTGTTCAACATTTAAATTGATCAAACAGACAGGTCTTAATGCTTCAGCATGTTACATTTTTTATGTTTATTTTATATTAAAATTGTACTTTTCCACTAGATGTGTTACACAAACGATGGAGCGTAGTATCTTCACCAGAAAGAGAGATCACCTTGGTGAACCTGAAAAAAGATGCAAAATATGGCTTAGGTAAGTCACTGTCAGATTCATGAAAGGTCTATGAAAGTTAAAGGAGAAAAAAACTTATAGTTTAGTATTCGCATTAAGGCACCAGCCCACTTCTGATCAAGATATTGAATCCCCACCTATAGTCCATTCATCCCACCTACTTAGTCAAAAATTACCAAAGATAAAATGTCTCATAAGCAGTACTTCCACCAAATCTAAACCTCATCTCACACATTTTACCTGTTAATCATATTTCATATATGATCTATACTCTCGTGTGGCTAGCAGGCTACTTACTTGTCATTGAAAACACAAGTATCATGAAGATCTTTCTCAAATACGCTGTTTCACAGGATTTCAAATTATTGGTGGGGAGAAGATGGGAAGACTGGATCTAGGCATATTTATTAGTTCAATTATTCCTGGAGGACCAGCTGACTTGGATGGATGCTTAAAACCAGGTACAGTACAGTACTTTTTATTTTGGGAATTCCTAAATAGCTAAGAGGTATGAATTTGCACCGAAGGCCAAAGTGGAGCTTAGGGAAGCAAAAGTAATGGGGTGGGTTAGGTAACGTTTCTAAGAATTAGCCTGATAATGTCTCTTAGTTGAAAATACTAGATTGTCCATTTTTACAGGAGACCGCCTGATATCGGTGAATAGTGTAAGTCTGGAGGGGGTCAGCCACCATGCTGCAATTGAAATTTTGCAAAATGCACCTGAAGATGTGACTCTTGTTATTTCTCAGCCAAAAGAAAATATATCCAAAGGTAATGTGAATGTCTCATCGCTACGTGCTCTGTTTCTCTTTTCACAAGAAGTCCAATACCTTAGTCAATTACCTGAAATTTAATTAATTCATATTAAAGTATGGCAATTTGGTATCTGTGGTTCTGCTTGTTTTGATTTTATTCGTCACTATTTTTCATTCATTACTCAAGATTTTCTGTCTCATTTCACTTGGTAATATAGGTACAAAAATGGATTTGGTGTGTAAAATGAATATCCCTTAAGTAAACCCTGAGTATTTGGTATACCAATACTTCTTAGGCCAAATTATAGAACCCTTTATCATTCCATAATTAATATAATTGAGTTACCTATGAATCTTGTCCTGAACCAGCTAATAAAAAGGAAAGGACAGTTACAGCCAATATCATATCATTTTGTCACATAAAATGGCACAGGTGTCACATAAACCTGTGCCAGCATGTTGTTAGGGGAAAGGATAATTAATGGAGGTTGGATGATGTGAATTGGAGTCTGGACCCTTTATTAACTATGTGATTTCATCCTCTTGAGCCACAGTTGTTTTCCTAAGCCCTGCTTTGCTTGGATAGAATTGCGATCGGATCAGGTATTGGGCAGTGTTTGTGAAAGAGGCACGTGCAGTGGAAAGGGATCCAGACCGCAGGGACCCTTAACCCTGTAAACCTTGAGCAAATCACTTAAGCTTTTCTGAGCACTGTGCTCACATGTCAAGTGATGAATATAAAAGGCCTGTCTTATAGATTGTGAACATTATGTGAGATAATGTATCAGAGAATCAGCACATTGCCTGGTAGATAGTGAGCATTTAACTGAGTTTTAGCTAGTGTTGGCTGTATTTTTTAGAAATATTGAAATGCTAGATATATTTGCTACTTTCGTTTCAGTGATACTGGAAAATATATAAAAGAATTAGCAAAACATTTGCTGAAAAGCAAATTTAGATAGTAAATTTTATGCATAACTTTAGACACATGGTTAAATAGAAACAACATGAATATCTCACAAATATGATATGACAAAATTTTCTTAAATTTTTTACAAAAAATAATCTTGAGTTTCTTCTTTTACTAAATATGTTTTATAAGTATATCTGTATCTGTGTCACGTGTGTGTATAAATAATATTTTAAGTGCTCCTTTAAAATAATATTTTAATTACTGTTTACTGGAACAAACACAACAGATGGTAAATGCCAACACTATCCAAAGGAACTTTTTAATGGAATTGTGCTCTAATAATCTTAGACAAAGGACGACAACTGCAGTTGACAATATAGCCTACCTTTCTTGGTATGCTTTAGGCTAAAGTAGCCAAGACAAAAATAAATTCTAAAAAGTATAACATTAGGTACCATCTCACCATTCTTTCAGCAAAATAAGTAGGTGAATTAAGAAACTCATTTCCATCCCTGAATGACACTGTAAGGGTCTGTCTGAGATACAGAACTACCTTCCTAGAACTTACTATATCAGGAAAAACAAGTATTAAAAGAACTAAACAAATAAATATTCAATTCTAGCTATTAAATATTTCTAGGAAGAAGTATAATTTGTCTAAAGAATATTTAACACAGGAATTTCACCTTATATGGTACCAACACGGGCTTTTCTTCTCATCATACATTCATGTATCTCTCACTATTGTTTTATTTTACTTTACATTCTGAATAAGAGCTAAAAGTATAATTATAAAATAGCTTTGTGAAATTATTTAAGAAAGCTAAAATAATCTTAGACTTCAGTGTAACTTGAAAAGATACTTTAAAAAGAAACTTAGAATATTACTAGTTTGTAGTCCAGACTACCCCTTTCAATTATCAGTCACCCAAAAAGGTGGCTTTTTTTTCTTCATTTGCTAATTTTTTTGTTGTTGTTATAGAATATATACCAGTTGATTAAAATGAATTCAATTTATACAGAAACCTATGGAATAAAAGCTTAAAATTTCCAAACTACATTTCCAAGACAACTATTTAGTGTGTGTAGTTAGCCTGTGTACTATAATTTTTAAATAATACCTATGTGTGTATGCACATATACACATATATAAACATACATGTACTTTTAAAAAAACTGAAAATGCTGTTATTTTCATACTCTAAATGTCGTTCTGTAATTTGCTCACCCATATTATCTGGACATCCATGAATACATACTCTATTTTTTTTAGGGTGACATTGCATTTATAATACTTTATAGGTTTCAAGTGTTCATCACGGAGAATTAATTTGTATACACACCTTTTTAACATGGCATTGTATTTATGTTATGGTATATCACAACAGTGAGAGTACCTTTTCATTTGCTAGCTATTTGTATTTTACTCTGAACTTGCATTCTACATATTATATCCTTGTTCCTTAAATGTTTTAAATCTCTTTCTTATTGAATTTTAGAAGCCCTCTGTATTCTGAGGATATTGACTTTTGTTACTGTTTCTTATTGTTACAAATACTTTCTATAGTTAGTCATCTCTCTTTCAGCTTTTCCTTGGTTTTACATGCTACATAAAACTTTTCAATTCTTAGGAATTCATATCTGTAATTCTTTGACACATGACTGTGTTACTGAGCCTTTCTTAAAGTGGCATTTTATAAGAAATATATATAAGGAATTTGGATTTGTCTTTCTTGATAATTACTTGGGGTCCAAAATACGCAGAACACTATAATCCAGCCATAAAAATAATCATAAAATAAGGAACAAGGCTGTTTTGGAGACCCAAGTTACTTCTAGATAGGAGAGCAAAGTTTTCACGGAGGAAACTCACTTGAAATGGGCCTTCAAGAATGGAAATGAGTACTTAAAGCAAAGGAAGTACACATTTCAATAAATGTTGCTACAGAAAACGACAAAGGCAGAAGTAAAGAAAACAAAAAGCATCTATACATTGTGTGGTCTCTGTTGGGGTTCTAGGCCTGAGGTCAAGTACCGTGCATGTGTTAACCTGTGTATAATACTCCCAGCAATCACTGGGGAATAGTGTATATGTGTGTGAGCACAGGCATGTATGTCACTGACCTGAGATTCTTATTGATGAACTTTGACTTTTAGGGTCTTCTACTCCAGTGCACATTTCCAATGGCATGAAAAGCTACTTGAAGAAATCTTCCTATATGCATGAGAGTGCTATTGATTCTTCTGAGGATCATTGGCCACGTGGCACCCCAAGGCATATCTCAGAGAGCTCCTTTGGGTTACCTAGTGGCCTGCGGGAAGGAAGCCTGAGTTCTCAAGATTCCAGGACTGAGAGTGCCAGCTTGTCCCAGAGCCAAGTCAATGGTTTCTTGGCCAGCCATTTAGGTGAACGAAGCTGGCAAGAATCACAGCGTGGCAGCCCTACGTCATCTGTAATATCCAAATCCACTGAAAGAAAAAGGACTTCTATTGACAGTAATCTAAGCAAAGTTAAAAAATCTGGCATTTCTGATGCAACAGATTACTCTGACCGTGGAGATTCAGACATGGATGAAGCCACTTATTCCAACAGTCAGGATCATCAAACACCAAAAAAGGCACAGTTTGATTTGAATCTTTGTTTTCATCATTTAACAAAGCAAGCAGCAATAAATTTATCATAGAATGTAATAATTTACTATAAATAACTTACGTTCTACTTGAAGGGAGGAATAGTTTACATATTATGCTACTAACTGCTACTGCATTTGATGCTAACTTTCAAATTATTAGCTTTGAATACTAACTCTAACAAAGCTATTCTAGGAAATTGCTAACTAATAACACAAATATATAAACAGATTATGATTGTTTTCTTCAAATTTTTCTTCTTGTCTAGTTAATATTTTTATTACTAAGAGAATTGTTATATCTGGAAAAAAATCTTTCCTTAATAGTTCAGCAGTTAATTGATAGCATAAATTCTCCTAAAGTTCTTACTGTATGATAATAAGTATATTAGAAAAATGCTGACTTCCTAGAAATGATATACATTTAAACCCCATTCACCAGCAGATTCAGAAAAGAATTTAAAGCCCTTTCTTCACTGAAAAACCAAACTTCTTCATAAGTGAGTTAAGCCCTTATAAATGGGACTTGGCTTATGCCTATGTTGGATTTGTAAATACAAGCAAAGTTAAAGATGATGTCTTCTCATCTGAGAGTCCCAAGTTAAAATCTACTGTTCGGTGTATTTTGATTTTTAAAGAAAACGGAAATACCTCCTGAAATTTGGTAGTATAAATAGCATTGCACAAGGATTATGTAAAGGCAGGTTTTGACTGCATTCTGGCATTCATCTGCCCGGTCTAGTTATTTGATGCAAGGCAAGCCATTTAAATACTAAACCTCAGTTTCCTCAACCATAAAATAAAAAGACATTGGCTTAGATGAGCTCAAAGATCTTTTCCAACCCTTATGTTCTTTGATTCCATTTTATCCCTCAGTAAGTCGTTTTTTATGGATTTTTAAAAAAGAAAACCCTTGTCTTCCAGTAATAGCTCATTTTGATTCTAATAAAAATCCTTTTCTTTTGTTTTTCTCTGTTAAGGAATCTACCTCCTCAATGAATACATCCAACAAAATGAATTTTAAAACTTTTACTTCATCACCTCCAAAACCTGGAGATATCTTTGAGGTTGAACTGGCTAAAAATGATAACAGCTTGGGAATAAGTGTCACGGTACTGTTTGACAAGGTTTTCACATATTTTCTCTTCTCCATTTCCAATAGCTATTGTATGCTAATTATTAATTCAATTATTTTGCTTCAAAAGGAAGACTTTTCAAAGATTTCCAAAATTAAAAATTGAGTCATATCGTAAAACTTGAAAAACTTGAATGTGCTGGTCACATTTTCCTGTTTTAAAAAATTAACAAATGCTACCATTTCCCCCATAGATTTCATACTTAAACTGATCTGAGCACAAAAATTTAAAATATAAAATTAATAAGTACACTTTGTATATATTTTACTACTTGTGCATAAGCTTGACATAACACATTTTAACTTATATCATAATGTCTAATGTATATTTATATGCCCTTTTTCTCTGAAATATATCTTATGTGATTAGTGTCTTACGTTAGAGGTTCTCAAGGAATATATGTACTTTTAAAATAGTTAAAATATGAACACAGACTATTTGATGATATTTTAAAATTCTACTTAGAATTTTAGTTTGGAATTCTAAATTAGAACATGCCATTTAAAAAAATGGTTTCATTGTCAAAAAATCATTTAGAACCATGGTAGAAATAGCACTATTAACATAAAGAGATCAAAAGGAACCCTGATTCTCTAACACTAATACCTTTTATTTTCTTGCCCTTAAGTTCTTTAGAAAGTTACTATTTTTCTCTTGTGAAAGGAAGTAAAAACAGTTCACAAGTTGCTAGAAATCTACTCATTGCATCTCATCTACCTGTAACAAAATTTCTCACCTGTTGCCTTCTAAAATGAAGAAAAAATTTTTGCCCTTGACTCATCAATTTGACTTCAGATTAGCAAATATAATCTGAAGCATATTATCTTGTGTGCTCTTTTTTTATGATAATCATATTTCATACTAATTTGCATAAATGAACTTTGCTTTCTGCTTGCTCATAATGCATGATAGAAACTTATAAAGGGAGAGAAATTCCTCTTATAGTCAAGACCCAGTCAGTATCTTACGTTCTGAGTAAAGTTTTTCTGAAAAGTAACTGGTTTGGCATTTGGAAAACTTAGCTAGAAATATTCTTGAATGTTTAACTGTACATGGTAGCATAATACTGTTGCTTTGGCTGATAAATTCTTTCTAGGTTTCAGATTTGAAAGGTAGAGTGCAAACTTACTCATATTGTACATGTTATTTGTCTTCTTCCCTTAGGGAGGTGTGAATACCAGTGTTAGACATGGTGGCATTTATGTGAAAGCTGTTATTCCCAAGGGAGCAGCAGAATCTGATGGTAGAATTCACAAAGGTATAGTATTTGTGTGTATATAGTAATTATGATTATCACTTCAACAAATAGATAACAAATTAAAAGTTAATATAGATCTTCAAGTCATTCATAATACAAGATAAAAACATATACAATTTTTTAAATTAAGTTTAGTTTATAACATCATGGGGTTTCAAGTGAGTAGTTGTTCACCTCAGAAATCATGTTAAACCAGCTCCACTGCTAAATGTCTAGTCACTATGCATCATCAAACAATAGGCCCTGTCCAACTGTTTGTACTGCTTTTTTACCCTCTGACATCATTTTATTGTCAGTCTTTTCAATTTGGGTTTGTTTGCTTACTTTTTAAGTTATTGTTGTCTTTATAGTCTACCAAAGTGTGAAATCATACAGAATTTATCTTTCTCCTTCTGCTTACTTCACTTAGCAAAATAAGCCTCCACATCTGTCCAGATGGTCACAATTGGCAAGATTTCATCTTTTTTTTAATGGCTAAGTAGTAGTCTATTGAGTATATATATATATATATATCATACCTTCTTTATCTAGTCAGTCATCTACTGTCAGACACTTAGGTTGTTTACATGTCTTGGTTCTTGTGATGGGTGCTGCAGTGAATATAAGAGTATATTTATCTTTTTAAAGTAGTGTTTTTGTATTTTCTGGGTAATTATCCAGAAGTGGGATTAAATCATGTGGCAGTTAGTTCTATGTTTAATTTTTTGAGCACCTCCATAATGTTTGCCATAGTAACTGCACAAATTTACATCCCCACAAGCAGTGCTCAAAATTCCCTTTTTTTCCACATCTTCCACAACAGTTATTTATTGACTTTGTGATAATGGCTATTTTAACTGGAATGAAATGAAATTTCATTGTGATTTGGATTTGCACTTTCCTGATAATAATTGATGATGAACATTTTTTTCATGGGCCTGCTGGCCATCTGCGTATCTTCTTTGGAGATGTGCCTACTTGGCTTTTCTGCATATTTTTTTGACAGGTTTTTGGTTGAGTTGTATGAGTTCTTTATAAATCTTTGACATCAGTCCCTTTTCAAATGAATGGTGTGCAAATACTTTCTCCTATTTTATAAGGTGTCTCTTTATTTTGATTAGTCACTTTTCACTATACAGAAGCTTTTTTGTTTTATGTAGCCCCAGTTATTTATATTCCCTTTTGTTTTTCTTGCTGCTGGAGATAAATTTGCATACAGTGTTCCTAGTAATCTCTTATCTTCTCAATTTCTGCAGTGTTTAAAGTAACAGCTCCTCTTTTTTTTCTTATTTATATGCATATTGCTTTTTTTCTTAGCTTCACTGGCAGTTTATTTTTTTTCAAAGAACCAGCTTTTTGAATTCATCAATTTTTTTGAATTTTTTTTTCCTATTTTACTTATTTGTGCTCTGATTTTTATTATTCCCTTCTATTGGTTTTTAAGATTTTTGTTGTTGTTGTTCCTCTTGTTCTAGTTGCCCAAGATGAAAGACAAGGTTGTTTATTTGAGCTTTCTTGCTTCTTGATGTGCGCCTGTATTGCCACATACTTCTCTTTTTAATACTCTTTTGTTGTGTCCCATATATTCAGGAGGTTCTGTCCTCATTGTCATTTGTTACAAGATAATTTTTCATTTCTTCTATGATTTTCTGGCTGACCCAAAGGTTTTTCAATAATTTGTTTTTCACTAACCACAGATTAGAGATTTTCTATGCTCTCTTTTTATAGTTGATTTCTACACTGATACCTTTATGGTCTGAGAAGTTATTTTATATGATTTCAGTCTTTATGAATTTGCTCATTTTTGTTTTGTGGTCAGTCCTATAGAATGCCATGTGCATATAAGAAAAATGTGTGTTCTGTTTTTTAGGGGTGCAGGTTCCTATAGATGTCTGTTAAGTCCATATAATCTAATTCTTTGTTTAAAGCTTTTATGTCCCTATTCATTGTTTGGCTCATTGTTTTGTCTATTTGGAAGAGTGTGTGTTGAATTTTCGACTGCAAATATGTTTTTTCCAATGTTTGCCTAATAAATTTGGTGATCCTTTATTAAGTGAATATATGCTGATGACTGTTATATCCTCTATTTGGTTTATTCTACTTCTGTAGCTTTTTATAGTATTTTTCATCTCTTCTTTAAATCTTTTTTCATCCTGCAGCTCCTTTATATCCTTCTTTAGAGTGTCATTTTCATTATCTGTTTGTTGATTATGTTTCTCAGGGCATTTTGTATTTTCCTGTATATACTTGATCCGCTTTTCTGAGCCTTCTCTGATTCCTTTGAGTTTCTTTATGATTGCAAGCTTGAATTCTGTGTCTAATAAAGGAATAGCTCCTCCATCTCTTTATGGGTAGATTCTGAAGATTTGTTCTTTTTTCGTATGGTGTACCCCTTCAGCTACTATGGTGGTTCATCATATTATTCTGCCTTCCCACTGCTTTTAGAACATCACTGCTGTGAGTTTGGCCTCTGCTAGTTGGGTCTCCAACTCTACCACACTAAGCCTGAGTGCTCACTGACCGCTGACTAGGGGTTGCTGTCACTGTCAGGCAGGGACCCTAGCAGTTACTCAAGTCGCTTGTGGATGTGCATGGCGTAAGCAGCTCTTCACTGAAAGCAGTTGGGGTTTGCTGGTGTTAAGTGGAGGTAGGACACTGCAAGGCCCAGATTTTTCATGGGGATCTTAATAGGAGTTGTGTTGATCTGTTTATTGCTTTATATTTCTTGCTCAGTATTTTGACCACTTTGAGTCTCTAATCCTCGAGCTTGTAATGTCTTTCTTTATGTCCCCTCATTTTTTTTTTCAACTGTGTCTTGTAATTTTAAGTGAACAAGTCCTTCATTTCCTTGGTTAAATTTATTCCTTGGTTTTTTTTTGATGAAATTATAAGTGCAAATGTTTTATTTTTCCCTTTCAGCTATTTTACTATGTATAGTATCACAATCTGTGATTCTAGCCTGCAACTTTGCATTTTTTCTTTTACCATTTCTATAGTTTTTTGATGGTCTTTCATAAATAATGGCATAGCATCTGCATATAGTGACAGTTTTGCTTCTTCCTTTTCAATCTGGATACTTTTTATTGCTTTTTCTTGCCTAATTGGTCAGTCAAGACTTCTAATACTATGTTAAATAATACTGTGAGGGTTGGCTTCCTTGTTCCCGATCTTAGAGCAAAAGCCTTTAGTTTTTTCCTCCAATGAATGTGATGCTAGCAATTAGTTTGTCATGTGTGGCCTTTATTACCTTTAAAAGTGTATTCCTAATGGTTTTTTTTTTATCATAAATGATGCTGTATTTCATCAAATGACTTTTCTGCATATATTGATATGATCATATGATATTTATCTTTCTTTTTTTCTTGATTTAATGAAATATGTTGATGAATTTATGTTGAACTATCCTTGCACCCTGAATAAACTCCAATTGTTCATGGTATATGACATTTTAAATATATTCTTAAATTCTCTTTGCTAATATTTTGTTGAGGATTTTGCATCTTTGCTCATCAGAGATTTTGAACTTTATTGTTTTCTCTTTGTGCTATGTGCTTTCTTTGTATGGTTTTGGTATCAGTATTGTACTTACCTCATGGGAAGAGAAAAAATTCTCTCCTCAGTTTTCGGGAAGTGCTAGAAAAGGATTTAGATATTGGGTCAAATTCACCAGTGAACCCATCTGGTCCTGGACTTTTGGTTCTTGGGAGGTCTTGATAACTGTTTTCATTTCTTTATTTGTGATCAGTCTATTCAGATTTTCTGTTTCTTCATTAATTGTAGGGTGTTGTACAATTCAAAGAATGTGTCTGTTTCCTCTAGGTTGTCTAGTTTGTTGACATAGAGATTTTCCTTCATGCTAGTCTCTTATGATCCTTTGGATTTATGTGGTAGCTATTGTACAAACACATTTTTCATTTTTGGCTTGAGTCTTTCTCTTTTTTCTTAATGGGTATAGTCCAAGGTTCATCAACTCTGTTGATTTTACCCCCAAAAGATGCCTAGCTCTCCATTTCATGGGCCTTTTGTATTTTTACTGTGTTGTAGTCTATTTTACCTCTGATTTTTATTATATTCTTCCTTCTACTCACTTTTAACTTTGTTCTTTTTCTGCTTCCTTTATGTGTAATGTTAAATTATTTATTTGCAATTTTTCATGTATCTTGAAGTTAGTCTCTAGTGTCATGAACTTCCCTCTTGGCACTGTTTTTGCTACATCCTCAAAATTCTAATGTGTAGTATTTCCATTTTCCTATTTGTTTCCATATATTTTTTATTCTCCTTGCTTTCTTCAGTAACCATTAGTTGTTCATCTAAATGTTTTTTAATCTCCACATATTTGTGTTTTCACCAACTTGTGTTTTCCTTAAATTACTTTGTAATCTCATACCATTGTGCTCAGAAAATATTCTTAGTAGGATTTAATCTTTGAAGATTATTTAGGTGTTTTATTTTCCAATGTAATTTGTTCTTGAGAATTTTTAGTGTGCTCTTGAGAAGGTTATGTATATTTTGCTTTTTCAGTAGAATGTTCTGTATATATCTGTGATATTTTTCTGGTCTAGTGCATCATTAAAGATATCTTCAAGAAAGTTGCTTCCCTCTTGATTTCAATGCAGTCATTTTTACACCATTCTATACAAAACTCAACATTACTCCAAAAATTCTCCTTTGTAACAATTTTCTAATATCAAAGATATCTTGATAGTGGCTAGTTCACATTTTGTTCAGAGAAGCAAATTTCCAAAGAATGGAAAAATAATAGTACCCTGGTATAAACACTGACATCTACATTTTTAATAATAACTAGGGATCTTTCTCCAATTTCCTCACATTTACAGTTCAGTTTATCTTTTACCATGATTTAAACTGATTTTATAGTATGTACAATATATTTTTCTAAAATGTACCCAATATTAACCAAAGAAATGAGAAAGAAATTAAATACATTCTAAAGAAACTAACTGACATAATTTGTCCAGAATTTTCTCTCCTCAAACAAATTAAAACTACAATGCATTAAAGACCATGTAGAAGTTTTATTTTGCAATTTGCTTTGTTTAAAATTGCTACCTAATTCATAGGTGATCGTGTCCTAGCTGTCAATGGAGTTAGTCTGGAAGGAGCTACCCATAAGCAAGCTGTGGAAACACTGAGAAATACAGGACAGGTAATAAAATCATTGTATCAACTTTTTAAGACCCCTTAAAAGAACATTATGATGTGTGAATAATCATTCTCATTAAGAACTCTAAATTTGGGGCCCTCCCTGGTGGTGCAGCAGGTTAAAGCACAACACTATGAACTTGGCCACAGCCACCTCAGCACAAGTTCAAGCCCCGGCCAGGGAGGTGACCCACATGGCGCAGCAGACCTCTCCTGTGCTGCCTGCTGCTCCCCTCAGCAGTGTACTTGGACATTCTGCCTGTTCTGCTCCCCACTCTGTGTCTGGTGGATCCTCTCATCACCCCCTGAATCTCTGGCCTACACCCCAGGTCTATATGAATAAATAAAATCTTTGGGGGAACAAGGAAACTAAATTTGTTAGACAAGAAACTAATCATGATTCATTTAAACATCCTGGTATTTTTTCTTCCAAATTGAAAAATATCATGGCAAGATGTTTTTGCTGAAAAAAGTGACTTCCTATATTACATTTAGCCCTAATATTACCAAAGAGCTCTAGCAGGAGGAAAGGTAGACATTGTATTTAGAACTTTTTCATAGCCATCTATAATTTCTAGTGATTTTCAATCACAGTCACTTTTTTAGCCCAAAAGCTAAATCATTTGGTCTAATAAATTTTATTCAGAATTAATCACATTTTCATGATTATTTCACTACATTGATCTTTTATATTTGTAGTACAGTGATGGTTTTATTCTAACACCAACATTTTATTGCATTTTTTAGTTATTTTTATGATAATATTTTTATTTCAAACCATTTTTCCTTTTAGAGTAGAAACTTAATTTTGAAATGCTTAATTAAGCCTTTGCTTTGTTCACTCAATTTTTTTTCTCATTTTACCTATAATTTGATAAGTCAGGTATTTGCATTAAATGATTTTATAGCATTAACTATACAAAGTCCTGAAAATGTTATCTATTTCTTTAATGTGCTATTCCATCTGTCCAGGTCGTTCATCTGTTGTTAGAAAAGGGACAGTCTCCAGCTTCTAAAGAACATGCCCCTATAACCTCACAGTGCACTCTTCCAAATCCAGATGTCCAAGGTCAAGCCCCAGACAAAATGATGAAGAAAATGACTACTATCAAAGACTACAGCTTTGTCACTGAAGGTCAGCCATCAGGAGACTTCCCTCTAACTTTTAAACTGCTCCTGACTTATTCAAAATTTGATAGTACATTTTGTGTCATAATTCATACCATATTGTTTATGGTATTTACATCAAGGGTTCATAACAATCTGTTGCAGCCCTTTACAACTCAGAGTCTGAATATAGTGAAGTTATGCATGAAATAAAATTTGGGGTGTTTATTGTTTGTTTTTCTTTTATCATTTTTAGTAAACTCATCTGTTTTTCAAAATGAATTTTATAAGGGAAAATAAATGTAAATGTAAATTTAAAAATAAATAACAGCTTAAAACCCATATGAAACTGTAACTCATACATTTTCTCTTTCTACTTAATTTTATGGACTATTACAAACTTGACCAACCCTTGGGTGTGCTGCTTTTGAAGTAAAATAAGAAAATTAAGAATGATGTAGTATTTTTTATAAAAGTAATTGTTCATAAAACAGACTATTAATGTTAGTAAGATTCCATCATTCTTTTCATAGATAAGTCCTTTATTTTGTGATAGTGGTAATATATAGTCATTATTTTGTCTTTATTTTAATTCCTCATTTGATTACATAAATACTAACATCTCTAAATTGTCTTGAAAATGAAAAAAAAAAAAAGCCCAACCTATGTTTTTCCTAATAATAAAAATAAAATTAACCTGGCCACTTTTTTTCTCACTGTACTACATTTTTATTTCTCCCAAGACTCTTACTAATGAAAATTTTATCATAAGGTCATTCCAGTTTAATAGATGAAACCACCCCTCACCAAAATATTAGAATGACAACTTCCTAATATTTAGGAATGTTAGGAACATGTTGTTCCTAAGATGTTGTTCTTACCATCTTTCTCCCATTGTATACTTAGTTTCTCTCATTCTCCTTCCCTGGATTTATCCCTTTTTAAAAATACATGGGATTAAAGGATTTTTTTTTCAGAACCCTTTTTTTTCAGGCAATTTATTACATTAAGTTTAATTTGCTTCATAATAGAGAGAGTAAAGTAGAATTTGAGAACAGGATAAGAATACAGCAAGCATATATATAGCTGTAAATATAGTTAGAAAATGGTGTCATGTGTCTTGTGTGTGTGTGTGTGTGTGTTATGAATTCACTATATATTAAGAAAATTAATTTCATTCTTTCTTCTCCAGAGAATACATTTGAAGTAAAACTGTTTAAAAATAGCTCAGGCTTAGGATTCAGTTTTTCTCGAGAAGATAATCTTATACCTGAGCAAATGAATACCACCATAGTAAGAGTTAAAAAGCTCTTCCCTGGACAGCCAGCAGCAGAAAGTAGAAAAATTGATGTGGGAGATGTTATCTTGAAAGTCAATGGCACCTCCTTGAAAGGACTGTCTCAGCAGGTGAGACACCATCTCGTAGCATTTTTAATATTAAAATAGATTGACATTTGAGAATGTTTGTTCATGTTGGTTAAACTGTGTCTTCACTTGTCATTCATGGTGTCCCCAGGAAGTCATATCTATCCTCCGAGGAACATCTCCAGAAGTATCCTTGCTTCTCTGCAGACCTCCTCCTGGCGTGCTACCAGAAATTGACAGTGCTCTTTTGGTGAGACCTTTGACAAGTAATACTATTTAGATAGACTGTCACTCAGTGATTAGGTCGTCTATGGTGCTGTCAGCATTGATTGATCTGGATTTCATGCCCAGTTACTTCTTTAGCTGGGAGTATTACCTTGTATGTAGATGTTTCAGTGCTTTTCATATAATTCAGTTCACTTTCTCTTGTCTTCCTTCCAATTCTAGAAATCTAGGATTTTGGGAAATTGTTTCCTAAGTACAGAAGTAACTTAGAAAAAGACATGAAATGGTTACCAAGAACTTTTGTCCATTTCTTTATTGAATCAAAATGGGAAAAATAATTCTCAATCTTAGCTCATTTAGATAAAATAAAAAGTATTTAAGACTTGTCTGTAATTTTAACTTTAGAAATCACAAAATAAGGATTTTATTTTACATTTCCCTTCCTAATATCAAAGAAAAACTGAAGGACCTAACATCTCTTTAATGTTTATTTGCAAATTGCATACTGGTAACTAAGAATCATATATGATTCATATAAATTATTCCTGTAAACTTATATAAATGAATAATAATATAAGTGAAGAAAGAGACCCTCAGCCTGCCTACCTACAATAGTGCCTCACCAGTAAACCTGACTTCAGAAATGAAACACACGCGTATGTGGAGGGGATAGGTGGGCAGTGTTACAGAGACATTCAATAGAAAAGTAAAATTTAAAAAGTAAAAATTTCTATAAGCTTCTTTCTAGCACCAAATAACACAAACTAAGTATAATGCTCTTGATTTGTAGATGAATTAATACCATTTTTCTGTAATATTTAACAAGGCCTTTAAAAACATACTATATGCTGACCATGTTTAAAAAAAATATACAAGGAAATAATCAGAAACTCAGACGAAAATCTACAAAGAAGTTCTAGATTTTTATTGGTAAAAACAACTCTGTCTCCAAACAAAGATGAATTCTGAAATAACTTGAATTTACAGCCATCTGTATGACAATTATAGTCTACACAGTTGGTGTGAAAGCATATTTTAAACCTCACAAAATGCTCATCTTAGAAGCCTAAATTTGAAAGTAAGATACAAAGTACTTTATATATTGTATAGTGTGTGTGTGTGTGTGTATACTGTATAGTGTATATATGATGCTATATATACTACATACATAAAACACTAATTTTGATTCAAAATTGTCATACAGTATTAACAGTTATTTTTATCTATTTTTATCTGGTGTTTATATATGGTGTTTTCTCTAATGAACTTAAATTACCTTTATTATCAGAAAATTAAATGAATATATTAATGAAAATGCTATATCTAGAAAACGAGACTCGTCACACTCTGATCTGTATAAATGTTCCATTGCAGACCCCACTGCACTCTCCAGCACAGGTACTTCCAAACACCAATAAAGACCCTTCTCAGCCAGCAGGAGTGGAGCAAGGCATCAGCTCAGATGAAAAGGAAATGTCTGACAAAAACATGAAACAGTGCACGTCCCCAAGCAGGAAAGACAGTTTTAGTGACAGCAGTGGGAGTGGAGAAGAAGACATGATGAAAACTGCAACAAAGAAACCAAATATGAGCTGGAATTCAACTTTACACCAGACTCTAAGCAACATGGCATCACAAGGACAAAGTCAACATGGAGCAACCAAGAATCAAGAAGATAATATTTGTACCACATTTTACTATACACAGAAAACACTCAATAAGCCAGAATTTGAAGACAGGTACTGTCAAAGTTATGTGTACTACTCAAAGTAACTGTTCTGACTACAGAAACCGTAACCTCTATTTCTCTAAGAATGAAATGGGTATGTGACCCCGACATTAGTTAAGTTTAATAATGCTTTATTTGATCTCTAGTTATTGTAACTAGTTTACTAGTTTACCAAACTAGTAAACTCTGTCAATTAAGCCTAAGTTTTTATTCCCCCTTTATTAGGAATTGGGAAACTTACTTGTATTTATCCATACCACTTAGCAGAAACAGACCTGTTTAAATAGTGTTATGATGGGAGAAAAGGGATCAGAAATATAAAGGGAAGTTGTGATGAGGAAAAAGGCAGGGAATTTGCAAAGGTAGAACAGTAAAAGTGCAGAACCTGGGAAAAGAAGAAATGATTGAAAGCACAGATGCATTCAAAAAGACTACATCTATACCTCTAGTAGTTATTCCTACATTTTACTGTTCTGTTATATACTTTTATATATTCAAGTTCAACCACATTTGTTGGCTTGTTTTTTCCTATTTTTATCACGCAAAATAACCATAGGAGTAAGATCTTTATGCTTATTTCTTCTTTGTCTTATGTTGAACTATGCAGACAACGTTAACTTCAATCTTGAATTAGAACTAGCAATGGATTTTTAGCTGTTTATTTAACCTGTATTAACTGTTTTATGCCACTTAAAGAGCTGTGTGAAAATAGAACCTGGACAAGTGACAGTGTTATTAGCAGCATAATAGATGTGAATTCACGTTGAGACAAAAAATAACTAGGATTTCAATCAAAAGTCGGCATGAATTAGCTAAGTGTTTTCTGTTTGTGGAACAGATTTTCTACATTGACTTCAAAATGTATTTGAAAATAGTCTTGTTTTTTTGTCTCTGTAGTAACCCACCCTGCCCTATATCACTGGATGTGACTCCTGGGCAGAGTTGTCAACCCCAGTCAGAATCTGCTTCCTCGAATTCAATGGATAAACATCATTTACACCATACTTCCGAACCAGCTAGACAAGAAAGCTTGACATCATTGAAAAATGATTTGGAAAACCACCTTGAAGATTTTGAGCTAGTGAGTTGTTTCCCACTAAAGAGAAAACTCCGTATTGTCTGCAGTATGATGTAGACACACACAATTTTCTTTTACTTAGGGAAAAGGTCATCTTCTAGAGTAGTTTCATTTCTTTTTCCAGTAAATGGATAACATAGATGGTATAAGTATTTGCTTACAAGTAAGGGGGAAAAGACCAAATCTTGATCTGCCATTCACTTGTTGCAATTTGGCAAATAGGACTAAAATTAATTTTGGTCAACATCTTTAGCTATAAAATGGAGGTAAAAATCTCTAAGAGTTGTGAGGATTGAATGAAGTAACATAATTCAATCAGAACACATAATTTAGTACCTGCTATAGAGCAGACAGTAAATATTTTCATTTCCCAATTTCTGAGTTACCTATTTAATTTTTTATCAATTTGTATGTGTTATTTTCTCTTCCACACTTAATGTATATGAACCCAAATAGAACCCATACATTGTACTAAAGTTAGCTGTATAAATTCTGATGTGAAGCCAAATTTCCATGTATAATATCCGTTACATTGAAAGTCAGTCATTTTCAATAGTGTTTTTCTTTTTCTTTTTTAACTTATTCATGCACACAAGAACAGAAGTACACACCAGAGTTGCAAAAGGGTGAGGGGACTCACCAGAAACAGAGTGGGGAGCAGAACAGGAGGACAGACAGAAACACACTGCTAAAGAGAGCAGCAGGCGGGTCAGGAGAGGTCTGCCGGCCATGTGGGTCAGCTCCCTGGCTGGGGGTAGAACTGTCAGTGCAGTGACTGTGGGTAGCTTTATAGAGCTGTGCTTTAATCCCTTGCACCACCAGGAAGGTCCAATAGTGTTTTTCTTATCCAAGTAATAAATATTCATTGGGGGAAAATAGAAAACCAAGAAAATTGTGTGAGGGTTGTATGTTTGTGTAGCATCTATATCTTTAGCTTCATTCGTTAAAAATAAATGAAGAGTTTTTCTAAACCTGCTCCCCTATAAGTACTCTTTGATCATCGAAGTCTAACCACTGACATGTCCTTGTTTATTCTGAAAATACAAAAATTGAACCATAAGTAAACCTGTCTCAGCTTTATCTAGACAAACACCACAATATGTTGTATTTAAACCTAAGGCTTACACGGTAGGCAGGGGCAGGGCGGGAGGTGTTTTATTGTGACTCAAATTAGACCCAGTTTCTTCACTCAGGCAAGTGTAGAACCCTATTAAGGTTTCCTTTTTCTGTTAATCAACAGTAATTGAGATCCTCCTTCTGTTTTTCTATAGGGTAAAATAGACAAGCTAAATGAGTCACTGTTTTCTTCCCTTAGGAAGTAGAACTCCTCATTACCCTAATTAAATCGGAAAAAGGAAGCCTGGGTTTTACAGTAACGAAAGGCAGTCAGAGCATTGGTTGTTATGTTCATGACGTCATTCAGGATCCAGCCAAAAGTGATGGAAGGCTAAAACCTGGGGATCGGCTCATAAAGGTGAGATGTTTCAATGGAATGGATTTGTAAAAATGTGGCTAGTGGCAAGATAGGGTTGAAGAAGACAGAACAAGAACAGTTGAATTAATAAACACTCTGTATCTCTGTTTGATTTATGTTTTCCTTCATTTCAAAATATGTTAACATACTGGGAAATATTTCAAGTTTTCTTTTTTAATTTAGCTGTTCCTCTAATTTTTTTTTAAAGATTTATTTGTTTATGCATACAGAACTGGGGTACAGACCAGAGGTGCAGGGGCAGTGAGAAAATTCACCAGAGACAGAGGGGGGAGCAGAACAGGCCAACTGATGAAGTATAGTGCTGAGGGGAGCAGTGGGTGGTTCGGGAGAGGTCTGGGGTGCCATGTGGATCACCTCCAGGTCAAGGATCAAACTCATGCTGAAGTGGCTTTAGCTTCTTAGTGCTGAGCTTTAACCCGCTGTGCCACCAAGGAGGGCCCTCTTCCTTTAATCTTAGATATAGCTTTCCAAGCCATCTTGAGTCTCAGGACAGAAAATATCTTAAATTATTTATATATTATTTATTTGTAATATATAATTTCTATTTATAAATTATAGAATAAATTAAATATATTTATATTTAACACATAATTATATCAAATATAAATATATACTTATAAATTGTATATAAAATAATTTATCATATTAGCTAAATAAAGATGTGTGTGTTAAATATTTTGTTATTTTACTTATAATTACATATATAATTACATGATTATTATATTTATGACTTTTATGGTAAAACTCAAGGCCACTCTTTACTGTGAATCTTACACTGCCTAATATATATTATATAAACAGTTAGTGACATTATTGTAACTTGTAATCCTGCTTTGCCCCTTTCTCATTTTTATAGGTTAATGATACCGATGTTACAAATATGACTCATACAGATGCAGTGAATCTCCTCCGAGCTGCACCCAAAACGGTCAGATTAGTTCTTGGACGGATTCTAGAATTACCCAGGATGCCAGTGCTACCTCACTTGCTACCTGACATTACATTAATGTGCAAAAACAAAGAATTGGGTAATGCAAATGCAAGCATTTTGTGGTGTGATTTTCTTGACTAGATTTTATGTGCTCAGAGACTAAGGAAACAATTATTTTCTTCTCCCTGAAGGTTTTTCCTTATCTGGAGGGCTTGGCAGCCTCCATCAAGTGGTATATGTCAGTGATATCAATCCAAAGTCACTTGCAGCCATTGAGGGTAATCTCCAGCTCTTAGACATCATCCATTATGTGAACGGAGTCAGCACACAAGGAATGACCTTGGAAGAAGCTAAGAGAACTTTAGATATGTCACTTCCTTCAGTGGTACTAAAAGCAACAAGGTACTCTCCAATTATTTGTGGTTTTTGTTTGTGTGTGTTCATGTGCATTTCAAGCTATTGATCATACCCATGTTTTCTTTAAAGATTTTCCTAAATTAATAATTTATAGACTGCACTGGCAGGAGTAGTAAAGTTAGAACAGACTTTTTCATAGACGATTCTAAAAGATTCATGTTGGGGCACATGTTTGCAGCCATTGGTAGAGTAGTTAACCTCTTTTCTCAGCATGTTTTCAGTTATGAGTAACAAAATACAAATCAAACTGATTTAAACAAGGCAAGAAATGTATTGACTTTTATGATTTAGAATGTCCAAAGATAAGATGCTCATCAGAAAAACTCAGGTAGAAGCCCTCCCTGGTGGCACAACAGGTTGAAGCACAGCACTGTGAAAGCTAGCCCAGACACTTCAGCACATCCCTTCCAGGGAGGTGACCCACATGGTGCGGCAGTCCTCTCTCCCTTGTCTCCCTGCTGCTTCCTCATCAGTGTACTTCATCAGTCTACCTGTTCTGTTCCCTACTCGTCTCTGGTGAGTCCTCTCACTGCCCCTGCACCTCTGCCCTCTGCCCCAGTTCTGTATGCATAACTAAATAAATAATTTTTAAAAAAGAAAAATTCAGGTAGGGTTCTGGCTCACTGTTGGTTTTGGGTTTTTTTGTTTTTTGGTTTTTACTATTTATTTTGAATAATGAATGGGTTTGTTCATGTTAGTCAAATAACCACATATTGCTGCTTCCTGCCTGATACCACACCAAACAGAATAGTTTTCAAATAGAAGTCTTACCAATCAATGTGGCAAAATCAGGACTTTATGCTGATTGCTTGCACTTAAATTAAGGCTCATCCACATTGAGACAAAAGGATAAGAATATACTGATTAGTCACAGGACTTCCCTTGCCCATACCCAGAGATGGGATGAAATGGCTCTATCTGAACCTCTTGTCTGTAACTTGTGTGTGTGGAACTACCACATTTGCTGTATCTCATAATAATTTCATGTTATAACAACATGCTAATAGCAACTCGTCTTGCCTTTATAAAAGAATAAATTGAAAAAAATCCACTAATTTCCTATTGCTATCAAATTTGACCAAAAAAAAAATCACACTTATTTTCTTAGCAGTTCTAGAGATTGGACTAAAATTAAGCTGTTCCATTTTCTGTCTTCTAGAGATTGCTAATATTCCTGATTTATGATTCCCTTTCATTTTCACCATTCTACTTCTATCATCACATCTATTTCTGTTACTCTGACATTCCTGACTTCCTCTTTTCACCTTAAAATTCCCTTTTAATTACTTTGGGCCCAACCAGACAATCTAGGATAATCCTGTCTCTAAATCCTTAACTTTATTACATTTCCGAAGTCCTTTTGTTCTATAAACTAACATATTCACAGGGTCCAGGATTAAAATGTAGACATCTTCAAGGAGCCTTTTAGTCTGCCTGTCACAGTGTAATGTAAACCTAGGGATTCTAGGTTACAGACTTTTTTAAAGAAAAAAAATTCACATTTGTGTCTGTGATCCATGATTAATTTTACATAGCATGTCTTTCAAAATATGGAATGACTAATCATTTGATAATATACTGATTCATTCTCTTTGCACCTTTAAGGTGCCTTGTATACTTTTTTCCTTGAATGTACTCCCTGATTTCTTTCCTACATATATTTTTAAAAATCATGTTGACATACAGTTATTTCATAGGTGTAGCTCAATATCAATTAGTGGGAGAGGAAATTCTTCAGGCAACCTGGAAAATATTTTTGTAACAATCTCTCTGCTAACAATATATCTAGTTGAACTTTTTAACCTCAAAATCAGTAGCATATCCTTTACTGCAGGCCTACAAATTAATATTTCCATCTTTCTACTTTTATCTTCTGCTTTTGTTATCTTCTATTTTTATCTTCTCTATGAGTCCCTGAAGATAAAGCATTGGTAGTCACAGTTACTTGCCAAACTTCATTCTTTTTCCACCTCTCTCTCCATTTTTGTGTACACCTAAAGTCTTTCACATCCATTCATGGGGTAGCAGTATTTATGGTAATTATCTTTTTGCCAAGAACTATAAAAGTCTGAGATGTTTTACCCTACTTGTAAGCTAATAAACTAACCTGTATTGTTCCATGGCTGCTGGTAAAAAACAATATGAACACCCTAGATTAGAGACAAAATTTTTATTATTTACATCACAGCAGGCAGCATCCTGGTATTGGTATCAGTCCCACACATCTAAGTTCCACAAGAAGCTTTCATGGATTCCTGTATATGCTGTGGGCTGAATAGGAATATTGTAGGAAAAGCCTTTCACTTTAGGGTAGCCTATATGAAATCCTGCTGTTGGTTTTCAAAAGATAGATTACTTCACTCCTCTGTCTTGCTCACCATAAACAGCCTTAAAAGGTAACCCAGATAAAAAGCATGAGGACCCTACATTTTTGCAGTACCCAGCAAATAACATAAAGGGTTGATAGATCCCACAGTAGATTCTTCTTCCAACATTACTTACCTCCCATTTCTCTCAAGTATTGGCACTAATAAGATTTCATATCAGCCCTCTCTCTTTTCTGTGTTGCTCTTTGTTACCTGTTTTTTCACATTGGGTGGTACTATTCTTATAGTCTTTTAAATAAAAATATCTTGTCTATTTTAATTTTAAGCAATTTAAAAGAAAAACATACATCAAGGACTTTAGGTATATGAAACATGGTCATCAGTGACTTCTAAGTTATGTTACCTTTGAACTATCACCTGAGTGACAATAAACTGAGTTATTAGATCTTAAATAGTATGAATATTTTAAATAGAGGGGAAGCCCAAAGAAAAATTATATAAATAAGTTATTCTTAATCTTTTTGGAGCAAGAATATCTCCCTCCAGTAATAAGCATACATGAAGACCAATAAAAATTTTTATTAAATATTTAAAATAAAGTGGTTTTAGTAAAGGATTTTAAGCTAACTATAAGTCAGTTTTTTTTTTTAATTATTTTTAACCAAGGTACTATTGGAGTTCCCACATCAGATATCACCACTGTCATGCACTCGCCACCACCTTACCTAGATTCCAGCACCATTGACCATTGTGCTTCCTTCCCTCTTTGCTCTTATCCTCCCCTGCCCCCACTTCTCTCAGTGCTTCATTTCTGTAGTTAGCTATCAAGGGCTTGTTTTTCACCTTGTCTTTATCTGAGTATTAATTTAGTTATTTTATATTCTACATATTAGTGACACTATCCATTATTTTCCTTCTAACTTATTTCACTTAGCACTCACTTAGCATACCCTATCCGTGTTGCCACAAATGGCATGAGTGTATCTTTTTTGATTGCTCACTAGTATTCCATTGTGGTATATATCACATCTTCTTAATCCACTCATCTCTTCTGGGGCACTTAGGTTGTTTTCCATAGTTTAACTCTAGTTAATAGTCCTACAGTAAACACGAGAGTGCAGGCTTCCTTTCAAATTAGTGATTTTGAATTTTTTGGAAAAATACGTAGGAATAGAATTACTGTTTCCAATAGCAGATCTGTGTTTTCTACTGTGAAATACCTCCATACTGCTTTCCGTAAGGACTGTACTAGTTTGCATTCCCACCAGCAGTGTGGAGAGCTCTCTTTTCCCCTTTTCTCCACATCCTCACCATTACTTCTTATTTCTGGTCTTTTTTTTTTTTAAATTATTAATTTTTTATTCATACAGAACTGGGGTACAGGCCAGAGATGCGGAGGGTGAGAGGATTCACCAGAGACAGAGCGGGGAGCAGAACAGGCAGATCGACGAAGTACACTGCTGAGGGGAGCAGCGGGCGGGTCAGGAGAGGTCTGCCTCTCCATGTGGTCACCTCCGGGGCAGGCGGGGATCGAACTCATGCGGAAGTGGTTTAAGCTTCTTTGTGCTGTGCTTTAACCTGCTGCGCCACCTGGAAGGGCCATGTGGTCTTGATTTTTATTTCTCTAATTGATTGTGAACATTCTCATGTGCTTGCTAGCCATTTGAATGTCTTTAGAAAAGTGTCTGTGTTGTTCCTTCGCCCATTTCTTGATTGGGTTATTTGTTCTGTATTTGCAGTACTTTTTGAGTTTGTTGTATGTCTTTAATATCAGTTTTGTGCCACACATATGGTGTGCAGGTATTTCTCCCATTCAATAGGGTGCCTTTTCATTCTAGTTATGATTTCTTGTACTGTACAGGAGCTTTAAAGTTTGATGTAGTCCCACTGTTTATGTTCTTGTTTACCTAATTGTCAGGAACAAATCCCTCAAGGCACCACTAAAGCTTATGTCATGAAATGTTTTGCCTATGTTTTCTTTTGTGTATTTTATGGTTTCAGGTTTTACATCAAAGCTTTTAATCTATTTTAGTTGATTTTGGTGCATGGTGTGAGATCGTGATCTAGTTTTGTTCTAGAGTATGTGTTTTGTTTTTGTTTTTTTTTAAGATTTATTTATTTATACAGAACTGGGATACAGGCCAGAGATGTGAAGGGTGAGAGGATTCACCAGAGACAGAGTGGGGAGCAGAACAGGCAGATCGACAAAGTACACTGCTGAGAGAAGCAGTGGGCGGGTCAGGAGAGGTCTGCCACGCCATGTGGATCTCCTCGGGGCAGGCGGGGATCGAACTCATAGGAAGTAGCTTAAGCTTCTCGGTGCAGTGCTTTAACCCGCTGCACCACCAGGGAGAGCCTAGAGTATATGTTTTGGCTCCTTTATTATAGAATAACTGTCCAAATGTTTTCTTTACTTCTGGGCTCTCAATTCTATTCCATTGGTCTGTGTGTCTGTTTTTATTCCAGTATCAAGCTATTTTAATTATTATGGCTTTATGTTGATACTATAACTTCAGGTCTTAGAAGTGTGATGCTTCCATTCTCTTTCTTTGTTAAGATTGCTTTTGCCAGTCAGGGCCTTTTGTGATTCCATATGAATTTCACTAATATTTGCTCCAGTTCTTCACAACATGCCACTGACATTTCTATTGGGACTGTGTAGAATCTGTGTACTAATGGCCATTTTGACCATCTTGATTCTTCCAGTTAATAAACAGGGAATATTTTCCCATTTCTTTGTAGCTTCTATTCTTTCAACAATGAAGAATAGTGAAATTTTTTTTTTAAAGATTTATTTATTTATTCAATCAGAACTGGGGTACAGGCCAGAGATGCAGAGGGTGAGAGGATTCACCAGAGACAGAGTGGGGAGCAGAACAGGCAGATCGACAAAGTACACTGCTGAGGGGAGCAGCCGGTGGGTCAGGAGAGGTCTGCCGCGCCATGTGGTCACCTCCGGGGCAGGCGGGAATCGAACTCATGCGGAAGCGGCCTTAGATTCTCAGTGCTGTGCTTTAACCCGCTGCGTCACCAGGGAGGGCCAGAATAGTGAAATTTTATCTACAGTTTCAATGGGTGCCTAGATTTCCTGAAGCATATACAAAACTCCTGAAACTTAATACTTAGCAGATAGTTTGAAAAATACTTAAACATTTAAATAATTTACAATTGCCTTTTCTTCTTCTTCTTTTTACAATACAGAGATGGTCTTCCAGTGGTCCCCAATTCCAAGAGTTCTTCTGTTTCAACTATAAAGTCAACTAAATCCAATGGTAAGGACATGTTCATTTTATGATACAAATAGTCATAGAAAAGCAACTATTTCTCTTCTTAAAAATGCCCATTTGGATAATGTCACTAAAACATCTTTATTATTCTTCCAGTTGTTTTGCAGGATCATTGTTATTACTTTATAAGATAGTTAATAAAATTCAGTGTAATAGGAAATAGAACAACATGGACTATGGTGGTTAGAGTCTGGTAGATCTGAGCTTTTCAGCCCTGTGTGACTGTAGCAATTTACTTGATCAATAGCTACACCACCATATCCTATTAGTAAATAAGACTATTAGTATCTTCCTCATAGTCCATAATGAATCATAAATGTAATAACATGTATTATAAAGTAATACATATCAATGATTTTCTTATCACAATGACTATCACATTTTACTTAGAAAGATTGAATTTCTCCTCTGTGCTGGCCTTGTGAATATTAGCATTCAGTAAACAATGTGTCTTTCTGACTTTCTAGAGAAGAATGGAAATTAAGGTATTGGTAGATGTGTCTGTAATTAAAATTAATGCTATCTTGCATTCAAATTTTTGAAGTGTTTTTTCACTTCTCACCCTTTTAGCTAGGATCAAGTATAAATATACTGAGTGTTTTAAGCACACAACAACCATGTGACACTGGAAAGGAAAGCTGAGGCAGCAAGAAATATAATTTGTGCAACCTCACTGAGTTAGGCAGAGCCAGAATTTAACCAAAATGTCTGGCTCTATGCTCTCATTTACATAATTGAGCTCAGTTAATGTAGCTTTTATTACTACAAGAATTTAGATACAAGGAAATTTATGTCTCAGTATATTTGAAATCTAGATATAGAACTCCGTACATAACTAAACTTTTGTCTGGCAGTATTATTTAATACGAGAGTAACCAAGAAATTGCACTTGTAGCTTAATTATCTCCTAAATGCTAAAACATACCTATGACTCTCCTCTCTTGTTACTATGATGTGACTGTCTTAGGCATTCTTCTTACTGCTCTAATAATTCAGTTTATGTTTGGGATGGCCTGTTTCACAGAAAAATTTAAAGAGCATTTTTCTAGTGATCTTTGGAAGACTCCCATTTTAATTTTTAAAGCTGAAGAGAGTCACTGCCCCCTTTGAAGAAACTGTCTAATGATCTGTCTTTATTGATCTCTCTGATGTGACTTCCATAGAACTAATGAAACAGGAAAGGGCTTGGGCCTGTCTTCCATATAGTACCAGTAAGAGGAATTCTGTTAACAGTGAGAGAACTGTAACATGGTAAAATCATTTTGGAAAACAGTTCAACATATGCCTACCTACCTTGTAATCTAGTCATTCCACATAGATCCTTGCACAAAAACTTGTATAGGAAAGTGTTTTGGAAATATCTTTGTAATATCCAAAATCAAACCACTCAGATGACCAAAAATTGTACAGTTACATCCAAAAACAAAATAAAAATGAACTTGTCGATACATACAATATGAGTAAATCAAAATAAGTAAACCAGCTAAAGAATCAGATAAAAGGGAGTAGGTGCTGAATTACTCCATTTATGCAGGTTTGTACAAAATGTTGTGACAGAAAGAGATCAGCGGTTACCTGGAGACAGAGAAGGAAGAGCCACTTAAGGGAATGGAGAGAGACCCAAATAAAGTGTTGTGTTTTTTATGTACTATTCCAATATAATTTTTTTTCTCTTGTTTACTCATTGGAGGAAACAGAAAACTTTTTAAAACAATAAGAAGGGCGGTCCCTCCCTGGTGGCGCAGCGGGTTAAAGCACAGCATTGAGAAGCTTGAGTCACTTTCGCATGAGTTCAATTCCCGCCTGCCCCAGAGGAAATACAC